GAACGTGCATGGTACAATGCTCAATCAACCGAGCCAGACAGGCCAGGGCAATGTTAAATTTTAAGTATAATATTGATGGAAACTTTTTTTTACCAAAAAGGTATGAAGTCAGGCTATTTGGCTGTAAAATGAAAGGTGGAGGTCAAATGTTCCTGCTTTTCAGGAGATCATAAAAATGAATTATCAGGTTTTAAAATGTGTGGAAGCCAGGCTGGTGTGGTTCAGTGGTTGAGCTTCAACCCATGAACCAGATCACAGTTGGATTTCCAGTCAGGGCACATCCCTGGTTGCAGGCTCAATCCCCAGCAGGGGGCGTGCAGGAGGCAGTCTCTCTCACCCATTGATGTCTCTAACTCCCTCTCCCCTCCTCTCTCTGAAATCAATAAAAACATATTAACTAATATAGAAATTGCCCTTTTAAAAAATGTGGGGAGATAATGGCTTAAGTTGAGATCATGGGGCTGTTGATACATTTCCTTCCTGCTTCAGTGAGTCAGAGCTATGTCCTCCAAACCAGGACGAATCACCTTTTCCCTTTGGATTCCTAGTACTTCCCTGGAGTTTCGTTTACAGCACTTGGCACTTTCTACCTGTATCACAGCTCTGTGTGTATCTGTCTGTCTCCTTGACTGTAAGTACCTGTGGGTAGGGCCTGATTCACCAGCCGTCTTTGTAGCCAGCACAATGCTTTCCCGTTTTAGACCTTCAATGAGTGGCTGCCGAATGCAAGGATACGTGAGTCTGAGTCAGCAGCACTGGTTTCTCTCCTGACGCTGGCAACCGCGTCTGCTGAGCACAGCAAGCGCCGCAGACAGGACGCATACCTTCATGGAAATCAAATCCCACTCCAAGCAGGAGGAATTATTTTTTAATGTATTTTTATTGATTTCAGAGAGGAAGAGAGAGGGAGAAATAGAAACATCAATGATCAGCTGCCTCCTGTTGGGGATCAAGCCCATAACCTGGGCATGTGCCCTTGATCAGAATCAAACCTGGAACCCTTCAGTCCGCAGGCTGATGCTCTATCCACTGAGCCAAAGTGGCTAGGGCTACACTTTACTTTTTTATTGTTTAAAAGTATGTTTGATTTTTAGAGAGAGGAAGGGAGAGGGAAAAAGAAACATCAATTGGCTGCCTACTGCACACCCCCTACTGGGGATCAAGCCCCCAACCCCGTATGTGCCCTGACCTGGAACCTAACCAAGTGGGATGATGCTCAGCAACTGAGCCACACTGGCCAGGGCTATCATTGTCCACTTTTTTAAAAAAAATAAAGAATTATACATTTATTAGATCATCTGGAAACCAGAAGGGCTGAGCCCTAAAATGAATAGGCCAGAGTGGGGGGAGCGGGACATACTAGTTTATGTCTCCTGCGCAGGTCAGAGTAGCTGGTGGGCAGGAGGCTGGGTGTAGGCCGCCCACTGAAAGCTAAGTGGTGAGAGGGTTAACTGTAAATGGAAAGCCTTTAACCATGTCCTGAGGAAAGCTGCAATGAGAATAAGAGGAAAACCTGTGTGTGTGTGTGTGTGTGTGTGTGTGTGTGTGTGAGTGCCTCAGGCAGAGCATGAGGGAGCGCGGGAAAGGTAGAGAATGTGCCTAACATTCCAACCTTTTGTTTCCCCTGAAAGCTGGGGGTCTAACCTTTGCATCCTCAAGGATTTTTGGCTCTGAATTCTTTTTTTTTTTTTTTAATATATTTTATTGATTTTTTTACAGGGAGGAAGAGAGAGTTAGAAACATCGATGAGAGAGAAACATCGATCAGCTGCCTCATGCACACCTCCTACTGGGGATGTGCCCGCAACCAAGGTACATGCCCTTGACCGGAATCGAACCTGGGACCTTTCAGTCTGCAGGCCAACGCTCTATCCACTGAACCAAACCGGTTTTGGCTGGCACTAAATTCTTTCAGAGAAAAAGGCTTGTCGGTTCTCTTCTGCAGCTGCTTCCTGCTGAAAGGGGTGACATTTTTCTCCAAAGACAAATCCTTGCTGTCAGAGGAGGTTGTGATGGTGTCCACGTTGGTATTTCCTGAGTACAAGCAGGGCTTGTAACCTGGTGGAGACAAATTTATAAGCTTTAGTATTATTGGCACAAGAACTAGAACAACAAGAATTATGGCAAATGGTCTGGTGGAAGGAGAGACATTAGTCTGAAGAGCTGTAGCCACATACACCCACATGAAATCGGTGTCACCAGGAGCCCAGATTCTGGCAGACAGAGATTCCTCTCTGGGACAGCAGATAACATGCAAAGTCATTTTGTTCACTAATCCCTTACATACCTAGCTGTCAGGTTACTGTTTTAAGCAAATACCAAAAAGAATCTCTTTTTATTCTGGAAACCAATCTTTAAGATTGTGGCTTAGTTAACCATCCAATACAGTATATTCTTCACATGTGGCAAAATCAGCAATTACATGACACTGTTGACGCTCAACTCAGAATTGTGTAAGTTAAATATACAGCCCTAATTGGCTTGGCACAGTGGATAGAGCGTTGGCCTGCTGACATAAGAGTCCCAGGTTCGATTCCGGTCAAGGGCATGTACCTTGGTTGCAGGCACATCCCCAGTGGGGGGGAGGGAGGAGAGGGGTGTGGGAGGCAGCTGGTCGATGTTTCTAACTTTCTATCCCTCTCCCTTCCACTCTGTAAAAAAAATCAATAAAATATATTTTTTAAAAAAGTTAAATGTACAAACTTCCAGATGTAAGATACGTCCTGGGATGTGATGTGCAGCATGGGGACTATACAAAATTTTATATTTGAAAGTTGCTAAGAGAATAATTCTTAAACGCTCTTGTCACAAGAAAATAGTGTGGTGATGGATGTTAACTATATCGTGGTAATCATTTCACAACATACATATATATCAAGTCATATTAAAACTAATATGATATGTCAATTATGTCCCAATTAAAAAAAAAGTGTTCTTGTCTAGCTGAGGATGGTTTCTTTGCATTGATTCCAGAGGTCTTCCTTGTATATTATATGTATACCCACTTCAAAGTTTCCTGGGAATCACCTGTTACCAGGGAGACGAAGAGACCAGGACACCTTGGTTCTGGTCTCCTTGAGGGAAAGGTTTCAATGAAGAGACAACGTGTAGAAAAGCAAGCAAGGATTTATTGACCACAGCAGCCACGCACCTGGGACAATGGACAAGGACGGGTATAGAAGCAGCAGGAGAGCCTCGGCTGGGCTGCTGGGAAGTCAGAGAAAAGGAGCCTTCGAGACAAATCCAGGGGCTTATTCTGGGAGGAGCTGCCACTGCCCATTGCTCCCCTGGTTGCAAGTCTCAAGGGGTCCCTCAGAGGCTAAGTGGGTGCGTGGGGGGAGAGGGAGGGAAGGGCGCTGGCGTGCTGCCGGGAGGGAGAGCCCCCTGGAGCCGTCACTTTCAGGGGTTTAAGGGCTGGGTGTTTGGGGGAGACCTTAGGGGAGGGTCAGCCTTACGCTGATGTACCAAAACGAGATTCTCTCTTCATCTGTCTGTCCTTGGGGGTGGGTGGCAAATGCCACTTAATTGGATTCTGTTATCCGTGCCCCGGAGCAGGGCGGCTGGAGCTGTGCGCAGTGTCCTTGATGGGGGAGGACAGCATTCACCAGCGGCTGACCCTGCCGCTGACGTCGTTCCCCCTTCCGCGGGCACCACGCCTGACCCTGCCGCACTCTGGACACACTCAGAAAGCACCCCGTCAGGAACCCTCCCTCTGCAGGAACCCCGCTGGAGGCTTTGTGCCGAGCTCCCCTCCAAACGGGCTTTCTTTGCAGACCTGGGGGGCGGAGATGCGTTTGGGGAACGAGCGCAGGAGGAGATGCTGTCCGATGCCTTTACCTTCTCCGCGGGCGCCGCCGCGGAAAGGCCAGCGCCCGGGAACCGCGGAGGCGCCCGGAGGCCGGGCCGCAGCCGGGAGGCCCCTCCGGACCCACCTTCCCCCCGGCGCCGCGGACGCCCGGCCTCCACCGCCCCCGCCCCGCCCCGCCCCGCCCGCCAGCGCGGCCCTCGCGGGAGCTTACCTGCGCCCGGCGGCCGCCCTCACCCCGCGCGTCGCCATGGCACCGCCCCGCCCCGCGCCCCGCCCCCGCCCGCCGGCAGCGCGCCCCGCCCCCGCCCCCGCCCGGCCCGCGCGGGAGGGCTGCGCGGAGGCGGGCGCAGGCGCAGGCGAGAGGAAATCGGCGGCGCGACGCCCGCGTCCCATTGGCTGCCTCGCCGTGGGGCCAGAAGCCCCGCCCCTCTGGCGGGGGTCACGTGATCCCTTTCAAAGATGGCCGCCCTGTTGTTTTGATGAATAATACTTGGTGGGGCGAGGGGCTAAGAGTAGGGGCGGCGGGCTAGCGGGGTTGACGCTGTCGGCAGGAGCATCGCGAGCCCCGTCCTCCTCCTCCTCCCGCGGCCCGGCTCCGGCGCGGAGGCGGGGCGTGGCCGGCCTGCTCGGGGCGGGAGGGAGGGGCTTCCCCTCCGCTGCTGGCGCTGCCTGGGCGGCTCTGGGGGTCGCCCGCCCTCGGGGCGTCCACTCTGCAGTCGAACAGTCCCCCGCGAGGAGGAAGGGCAGGGGGGGGAAGCGGGATCTGGAGGAAGCACGGCTGCTGCCACGCTGCCACCGCCACCGCCACGAAGACACACCGGGCTCGGGGCACGCGGCGCGGCGGGGACGGAGCTCCCGGCCTGGGCAGCCTGGGCGGCGGGGAGGCGGCGGCGCCCTAAGGTAACCCGCCCCGCGGCCGCAGCGGTGGCGGCCCGAGGAGGCTGTGCTCGGGGCACCGGCGGCTGGAGGCGTCTCCGGGGCGATCGGAGGGACCGACGCCAGGGCAGTTCCGCGCCTCGTGTGTTCTCATTTGTTCACCTCTGACTATGCAATTCTGAGACCTCCCCCGTTCGGGGGCCCAGACAGCCCGACGGACACCTTCCACTCTCCTCCCGCCCCGATCTAAAAAAACCCCCCCACAAAACCCCAGAAGGATCTCTCCCTGAACGCCTTTCACCATTAAGAGGAAAGCGATGGAGGAGCTGAGCGCTGATGAGGTGAGGAGGTGGGGACCGCTTGGGAGATCAGTTGGCAACTCCGGGCGCTTTGGGGGAGGGGTGGGGATGCGCCGGAGGCGAGGGGGTCGAGGTGACGTTTTCCGGGAACGAAACGAGCCCCCGAAAGAGGGTCTCCGATTGTATGCTCCCGGATCCCTTTGCCTTCTTCCTTCATGCTGGACTCCATTTGCTTCTTTTCGAGTCTTCTTTGAAGGGCCTGCCTGTCGAGGCGTTTTTATTCTTTTTCTTCGGGGGATGGAAGCAACAAGGGCTTAGATTCCCATCAAGTTCAATGTGTGTGCGCCCGCGCGTGCGCTCGCGCCGTACTGCAGAGACTGAAAGAATCATTTTAGGTGAAATCAGAGTGTGTGTATGCATTTTTTTTTTTTTAAAGGGAAGGATTTGAAAACCCAAGTATGGATGGCTATTTCATTGTGTAAGTTGATGAAGCACACGGTTGTGTTTGGGATGGTGGGTTGGTGGTGGCCTGCAGACAGATTATTTGATATTTTTTTTTTAAATGTGTATTCTCCATAGTTAGTGAGTTCCAGCCCAATCCTAGTAATGTAACAGGCCGCTTATGACACACTTCTCTCTAATCCAGCCTTTTTCTAGTTTTTGTCGCTTTCAAACTTGGCTTTGCTGTAGCAGACACGGAACAACAAGCCACTGATAGCAAATGGCTTTGTAAACTGCCCCTGTGATGATTCTGAAGGGGATCTTACAGATTCCTTCCCTGGTGCTTTAGAGATTATTGAACACGATTGTCATAAAAGCAGGGGCAGTTAGTGTACTAGGAATTTTCATGCGATTCTACTGATTTCTCCCTTTTCACAAATGGGAGCTTCCTTCCCAGGACCCCTGCTGGCCTCCCTCTCTTCCATCTACCTCGTTTCTTCCACTGGTTCGTACAGAACTTCCCCAGAGTATTGGGAAAGTAGTCATCCGGTTGGTTGTACTCTAACACTCCTATGCTTCAGTTTTAGCTACAGAGTGTCAGCGTCCAGGGTGGAGCAAAAGGAGGTTTACAGGTTTGAGTACAGAAAACACAATTTATTTCTGTATTGTTATTTGTTAAATATTGTCTTATTTTCCATATGAGCCTGTAAGCCTCCTCTTGCTCCACCCTGTATTTACTTTGTAACTAAAATCCTCTAGGGATGGGGCATGCAAGTGGTGGGTTAAGGGTCAGGTAGGAAAGGAAGCAAATACTTTTGTTGATCGCGATACTTTTTTTGCAAAGTCAGGATTGCCCTTTCCGTGTTACTGACCCTCTGGTCTCAAATATGATACATCAGGAACGTGATCTTAAATGAGAAAACTGTTGAACAGTTTCTTTTATTCAAGCAGGAGCTATGAGTTACCCTTAGAGGCACTTGATTTTAGGTAGTTGTTTTTTAAAAAATATATTTTATTGATTTTTTACAGAGAGGAAGGGAGAGAGACAAAGAGCTAGAAACATCGATGAGAGAGAAACATCGACCAGTTGCCTCTTGCACACCCCCTACCAGAGATGTGCCCTTGACCGGAATCGAACCCGGGACCTTTCAGTCCGCAGACCGACGCTCTACCACTGAGCCAAACCGGTTTCGGCGATTTTAGGTAGTTTTTAAGTGTCCTCCTTTTTTTCCTCTTTACTATTAATTCTAATGGTAGTTTCTCTGAAGACAATCTGTGTTTTTTGAAAGTCCTTTACTTTTTTTCCCCCTTGACATTCTCTAAGTTGTCTCTGGTTTACAAGTTTTTACATACTTAAGTTTTCACCAAGCAATTGTTTTCAAACCTATAAAGCATCCAGACCAGTTAAAGACTCTGTATATTTGAACTGTGGCTCTTCACTTTCTCCAGTCCTTGAGGAAGATCTAAGTTTTTTTGTGTCCATATAAGGACAAATGTAGTGGTAGTGGACGAGATAGAAAAACATCTATCAAGATCAATAGAATATTAAACTCATGCGAACACCTTAATTCACGAATATAAGATCAATATAAAATGATGTTCAGCAAATTAGTTGTCCTGAACACAAAGGGGTAGTCAAATACCTGGTAATTTTACCCTCAGCAGACCTAGAACAATTTATTTTTGAAAAAAATCTTCTTAAGGTGTGTTTCCTCCCCCGCCCCCCCATCCATTTCCTTTAATTCTGGAATTAGGTGAGCAGTTGTCAACAGATATTTCCAAAGCTTTTGCCTTTGCATTGTGATTCCGTTGGTGAGAACTTTTGTCGCAGACAGGGTGGGTGGCATTCATTTAGTTAGAAAATAATACACTTATGTTACTAAAAACTCAAACATATATCTCAGGGTGAAATCAAGCAAGACAGTGACCTTTCAGTTTAAAATAGGGCGTCAGGCAAGGCAGCGTTTCATTTTTTTATAACAAAGTGAAAATGTCTGAGGATATCATCCACGAAAAATAGAGCCTGTTCTAACCACACTGGTAGCTCTAGAAGATTTTACATCCTGGCACTTTTTGGTCCCTCCTAGATCACCTTGAGTTCCTGTATTTTTCTTCTCTTGTGCTTTCTAAGTAGAGTACTGCCTTCACTTCATCCATGCTCTCTCTGTGTATAGCGCACGGCAGGGAATTCATTGCTCTGCAGCGCAGATCCGTGACTCAGTTCATCCTGCTCCTGCGCCTACATTCCAAAGGGTCATTATTTACATTACACTCATTCTGCGCCTGCTCAGGTGCTGTTTTCATATACCAGACTGGTGCTGTGAGTAGGGCAGGTATTTTAAACTGTGGGGCTGAGATTGCATTGAAATGATTCACTTTTTTTTTTTTTTTTTCTTTTGTTAAATCTTTATGACCTGGTTCATCTTCAAGATGGCTGGCTGGGGTTTAGGTGTGGTCAAGGTTGAAGAGAAGTGTTAAGTCTTCCCTCTCAAATGTAGAATATGAGACTGTTAATGTAAAAACATTCAAGCCCGTAAAGAATTTTTGTGAGTTTATTTGAGCTAAATTGTCAACAATTGCTGGGAAGCAGAATCTCAACAGATTGGGATAATGCTCTGGAGAATGGCGTGTTTTGTTTTTTGGTGTTTTTTTTTTTTTTTTTAACCTAATTTTATACTTTTTAATCAAAGGAGGAAACATAGGTGGGTTACAGGAAATCTATTGGTGATAGATTAGGGAGGTGGGAGAAAGCAAAGAGGGTAAACCTCTGGGATTGGATAAAAAGTAAAATGATAGACACATTACTTAGGTGGGTGCAGGACAGTGAACAGTTAATAATTAACATGATAACGACAACAAGGAAGGAATTTGTGGTATCTGTCCTGGCACCCAAAATCATTTGGTTGTACCCTGAGGGGTCCAGAAAAAAAGGGAAATTACAACTTACCTTGACATTTCAATGATATGTTATTGTAGAGGCAAAAACTCAATCCAGGTAAAAATTGACCTTGTCAGGGAAGATACTGGCCTAGAAGGTGACTACCCACCATAACTGACCTTATTTAAAGTTTAATTTCAGACCATCCTTTGTGGTCACCCTCGGTCCTTGAGTTTGCAAGACCGCCATGCAGGCCTTCCCTGAGCTTGTCAGGGGAGCATGTGGCCCCTTTCGTCCACAGGACCTTGAATTTTTAGTCACACTAAATGGAACAGGACTGACATTAAAAAGAAAAATACACACACACACACACACACACACACACACGTTTGTTGATTGATTTCAGAGAGGAAGGGAGAAGGAAGAGAGAGAAACAATAATGTGAGAGAATCATTGATCAGCTAGCTCTTGCACTCCCCCTGCTAGGGGTGGAGTTCACAACCTAGGCATGTGCCCTTGTCTGAAATCGAACCCAGGATCCTTCATTCCGCAGGTTGACGCTCTGTCCACTGAGCCAAAACAGCTAGGTTAGGGACTGATACTTAAAAAATACCTCTATTGTTGAAAGTATTACATTGGCCTCTTTCTAGCCCACCCCAGGCCTTCACCACCCTATTGTCTGTGTCCATGGGTTATGCATTTACACATACAAGTTCTTTAGTTGATCTCTTCCCAGGCCTTCCTCAGATCGACATTCAGGGACTGACATTTATTAACAGCTTAGAGGCCTGCTCTGTGCCAGCCTCTCTGCCACCATTGTCTCATTTGATAAAGACTACAATCAAGGAGGTCCTTCACTTTCCCTTATTTTATTGGTGTGGCAGTGGAGGTTTAGATTAAATAATTTGTCCATAGTGACCCGGCTTAGAGTTGGAGTTCAAACCCAGCGTTCCTAATCTAAAAGCTCTTTTTATTACATTTTATTGCTTAACAACTGGCTCTAAATACATCTATATACAACTTCTATATAAACTAGAGGCCCGCTCACGGAATTCATGCACGGGTAGGGTCCCTACACCTGTCCAGCTATCAGGGCCAGTCTGTGGGGCGACCAGCAGGGTCCCCACTGGCACCTGCCTTGGCCAGCCTGGTGCCGCCTGCTTGCCTCTGTGGGGAGGCTGGTGGGCCAATTGGGGGGGCCCCTGCTGGTACCTGCCTGGCTGGTCTGGGGTCTGTGGGCTGGGGGCAGCTCTTGAGTTGAGCGTCTGCCCCCTGGTGGTCAGTGCGTGTCATAGTGACCAGTCATTCCACCGTTTGGTTGATTCACATATTAGGCTTTTATTATAAAGTATATCCTAACATGCATGATCTGCACAGTTTTTCTTATAGAATGCATGACACAATCCAATTTAATAGTCTTTCTTGTACTGATTTTCATCACGCCCCTCCAGAATTGTTCATTCAACAAACATTTTTTAAAAAGATGCTGTGGGCCCTAACTGGTGTGGCTCAGTGGATAGAGCGTCGGCCTGCGGACTGAAGGGTCCCAGGTTTGATTCTGGTCAAGGGCATGTACCTTGGTTGTGGGTACATACTCAGTAGGAGGTGTGCAGGAGGCAGCTTGTCGATGTTTCTCTCTCATTGATGTTTCTAGCTCTCTATCCCTCTCCCTTCCTCTCTGTAAAAAATCAATTAAAAAATATATATATATTTTGAAGATGCT